TTCATTCACGGATGGAGGGCGGGTGGTTTTCAAAATGTTGCTCTCGCCTTAGCACTTCGCACATTCGTCTTCAAAGTTCGCAAGAGTGTCGCGGATTCTTACGGTTGACGTTCCAGGAACTGCGTTCTGGCACGATGTAAAGTTGCCAGGGTGCAACAGCGAGGTTGACTGGCGGTGTTGAAGTCCCTGGAAAGGGATGCAACTGTAAAAGTAGTTCGCGGCGTTGAAGTCCAAGGAGTCGTGCTTGGGCACAATCGAGGACTCCCAGACGGTTGTCTTCCAGCAGTGGAGACAGATCATTATAGGGACCTGTGAAGAGGGAACTTGGAGGGAGGGTGTATTGCAACATCGCTGATGCATCTCGGGTTTGCGCTGGTCCTCCTCCTCCTCCTCCTCCGGGCGAAAGACCCTCTCCGCTTATATGCAACTCCTGCCCCCCCCCTCTATCCTCCCTGGCCGCCCGCCCCCCCCTCCTGGCTGGCGAGGCCCTCCGGCGTGAAGAAGACGTCGCCTGCCGGGGGCGCCGTCGCCGCAGGAGCGAAACCCAGGTCTGCCTCCAGAGACCTCTGCACAGCAGACGTGGGCAGAGGGCGGAGCGCTGAGGCGGAGGGAGGAGTAGGGAGGAGGTTGACGGAGGAGGCGAGCAGGAGGTTGACGGAGGAGGCGAGCGGCCTTAGATGCGTAAAGAACGCTGTGGGGGTGGCCCTTTGCCCCGTTTCCCGCGTCTTGCGTTTTCCCCGTCTTCGGCTCCCCGTTGCTTTCCGCGCTGCGCCGTGCACGGCCAAGACAGGAAGGCGGAGGAACACACCCCAAAAGCGCGTTACGGCAGAAGCCGAGCGGGTGGCGGGCATGGCGCCCATGCAGACCGCTAGTCTCGAACAGACGCGTGAACGATTTCTCATTTTCTTACTCGGAGTTTCGACATTGGGCGGAAGGGGGGGGGAGGGGGGCTCTGGCTCCAGACCTCGGCTCAGTGCGACTGTTTGGAACCGTGCGTCCTGTGTGGGAAGACTCCACTTGCCTGAAACAGGCGCCAAGAACAGCCAAGATCTACTCCAGGGGGGTGGGGGGGGCACGAGGAGAAGAGACGAGAGGGGGAGGGGAGGAGGAGGAAGAGGAGGAGGAGGAGGAGGAGGAGGAGGAGGAGGAGGAGGAGGAGGAGAAGGAGAGAAGGAACGAGGAGGAGGAGGAGGAGAGAAGAAAGGAGGAAGAGGAGGACGAGGAGGAGGAGGAGGAGGCTTGCGAGGACCCGCGCCGATCGGCAAAACAAGGAATAAGAAAACGACCACATCATCTGTCCCTCTGCCCCCGTCGCCCCGCTTCCCGCGCCGCCCTCCCCGTACCGCCGCTCGGTCCTCGGTTCTTGGCAGGTCTTTCCCTGCACGGCTTGTCGGGGGCGTCCGAGTCATGACAAGAGAGTGAGGAGAACAATTATCGTGTTTGGAGGGAGTGGTTGGGAGGATAAAGGGCACGAGCAATAGCATCGGGATGCAACGAACGATACCTTCGGCCGCCTACGGGCAATGGTATCCTCATGTCTACCAGCCCTATCCTCCCAACCCAATAGTTGTCTTCCTCAGAGAGGAGGGGGGGGGGGGGGGCGCAAACCGTGGCTGGAGGCATGTGCGCGCGCCGGCGGGGCCAGGGGACGCAGTGAAATAAGAAGAGGGACCATGAGATCCGGGGAGTTATCCTGGCCCCGGCCATGATATCCACCCCCACCCACCCCCGTCGTCACCCCTCTCCTGGCCGCCCCCAGGCTTGCCTGCGAGGATTCTGCATGATGCCTCCAGGTGCCCAGTGAGGGGCGGTGCGGGGAATGCCGAGGGCTGGGGCCGTCGGAGGGAGCAGGTGCGAGTCGGTCGAGCCGCCCGCGTCCGTTCAGAGTGCTCCCTGCCGTGCTCCCTGGCGTGCTTTCCAGGAGATGCGGGGACATCGGTGGTCCGTCGCGGCTCCCTGTCGTGCCCCCCATCGTGGCCCCCGTCCTGGCACCCCGCCATGTGGCTGCGTGGAGCTGTTTGGGGTCGGCTACCGCCGTTAAGGGTGCCGTTTGTCTCCAGCTCGTATCCGCTGCAGCGTCAAACGCCTTCAATCGCACTGTACTCGCGATGCTAGGGCGCTCAGATTGGAGGCAGCGTAAGAAGATCATCGTGGCCCTCAATGTCCGAGCTGAAACTGGTGCGACTGCCGAATGTGGGCGTCAAGCAGCGCTCTCTTGGACAGTGTTCGGAAGCGCCCCTGTGAACGAGCACTTCGGTTGGTCGCTGCCGAAACGAAGGTCACGCAGTGAGATCACAAACTTGACAAGTGCTTCTGAACGAGGAACACCTCGTCCACCAAGGACGCACCCGCAACGTCATCCTCCAGATCGCTGCGCCGAAGGCAGCGCCCCAGCTCACGCTCGACAACCTGCCGAGCTTGCTCCTCCAGCTCTGCCTGCGCCTCGCTCGCAGCTGCGTCCTGCGGACTCTCGAGGCGGCGACGCACGCGCCGGGAAGTGCGAGTCGGAGTCTGAGTGTTCACCTGGACCATGGCGCCGAAGTCCACCTCATACTTCCAGCTGCCCGCCTGCACGTGCACCACGGAGCTTGACGATAGCGCCGGGTCTGCGCCCGAGCGGCGCCATCGCTGGAAGGCTGCCTCGACGACGCCCGCAGGCTCGGCGGAGTAGTTGTGCCACTCGTCCGCAGCCTGCTCGAACTGCCACACTGCCTTCAGCCCCCCCTCCGTGGCCGCGCCAGGGTGTTCCCCCTCTGCAGCAGTGGCCACTACCACTTCACTGCGAGATGCCAGTGAGATGGGCGTAGTCTCTGCGGAGGGGCTGCATTCAATCTGTGAAGCGGAAGCGGCGCTCTCGCCTGCAGTGAGTAGCAGCATGGCACCCTCGACGTCACCACCAGATGCCCTCAATGCAGCCTCTGCCGTTTGATCGGGAAAGTCCGAACCCAGCAAAGAGAGGACAGAGGCCAAGGCAAGCTCATCTACTGGAGGCTGCTGCTGACTGGCCTCGTCATGATGCTGCTGCTGGGTCTGGATCACATCGAGGGCCTTGTGAACATCGTTGTCGGTCTTCTTGAGGGCGGCCACAGCGGCTTCTTCTTCGATGCCCATGCCCTTGAGCTGGGCGACAAGGTCTGGATCCACAAACGAACCACCCGCTGTCTGCCCCAATCTCCTCTGAATATCGCGCTCGCTGCGGGCAACCTTTCGATGCCTCGCTGCCGCCAGAAGGTCCTCTGCAGCACGGTCTGGAGATCCGCCGCAACGCCTGAGCGCGGCCACCGCCTGGACGCGCGAAGCGCCCATTGTGAGCAGGGTGCTGACGGTGTCCTCGTCCACCTTCAAGCTCTCGAGGAACAGCGCCGCTCGCTTCAGGTCCGCGCGTGCACCGTCGACGTCCCCACGGCAGCTGTGCGCGATGCCGCGCAGCAGCCAGAGGCGCACAGAAGGCAGCACCTCGGGGGGCAGAGTGTGGCCCTGCTCCGCCTTCACCTCCGCAAGCGTCAGAAAGTTCTTGTCGACTTGGCGGCTAATCATACGCTCGGCTGCCCCCAAGCGAGCCTCAGCATCTGGCAGACGCTCGGTGTCCCCCAGGAGCGCGTAAGCCCAACAGATGTCGAGCTGCAGCTCACCGAAATTCTGGAGCTGCTCCAGTAGCTGCCAAGCGCCACATTCACGGCAACGCTCGAAGCAACGATCTGCCTCGACTAGAAACTCCAATGCCTCCACCGTTGCCCCGCCGTCTCGGCTGGCTAAGTGCTCGCGACCCTTGGCATGCAGAGCGATAGCCGTGACTAAAGCCTGCCGCACAGCAGGTTTAACTGGTATGAGGCGACCAGTCGTCGCATCCGAGAGCTCGAAGTCGCCGAAGCCCTTTGCTGTTAACTGCTCAGCGGCTTCCCGGATCTGTGCGACGGAACATGCCTGCACCTGCTGCGAGCAGGGTGTCCGCAAGGAGGCAGAACCACCTCCCTGCCCAGGCTCGGGACCAAACTCGGCGGAGGTACAGTCAAAACTGATACTAAAGATGGGCGATAAGGATGCGCGCCCCCTGGACGCGCATGTCGAAGCTTTTCGTGAGGAGCTGGCCGTCAAAGAGTTTAAGGATGGCCCGAGGAGGCAAGGATGCAAGGATACCATTGGGAAAATTACCCATCTCCACCATCGGTTCCGACTGTAGAAGCACCTGGAACCGTCGGTGGATCTTCGCTTGACGCCGCGACGGCAGGATCCGATGCAGGGGTTTGGCACGGCCGCCGGGCAGCAAAAATCAGCACCTTGAGAGGTTGACCGTTGCGCATTTGGTCGCAAAGCCATCCCTGTTCATTGAGTGAAACGTCATCCTGCAGTGCGCGACCACCTGCAATGACCTTCAAGTGAGAAGCACCCAGCCTCTCGCAGAGCCGCTTCCGTACATCAAGGCCAATGTCGGTGTCTTTGAACTCGGCGCTCAGATCGCCCCCAGTCCCTGCGGTGACGGCCATCACGCCACGTACCCTCCCGACGAGCGTGACGCGCGACGATCGCTGCTGTTGCTCTGGCTTCTCCTTGAGCTTGCGAATCGCATGTTGCCGCAACTCCTCAAGCGCGCCCTGTACCTGAGAGACTTCGGCACCGAGCTGGGCCGCATATGCACTGGCAAGCTCAGACAGCTTTTGAACAGCGGACTGTTCGTCCAATGGCTGCGTATAAGGGGGTAGCCACAGTTTCACATTCTGACTGCGAAGTTCTCGACGCACGTCGTCAAGCAACACCATGGCGCTCACACTGCTGGATGCGGAGTCGTTGCACCTGCTCCTCGTCCATATTATACCCCTGCTTTCGCAGACGCAGGTCAACGAACCTTGAGCACAAATGGCCATGGGATTGATGTTTGAAGATTGTAGTGCGCGCGTCAAGCCTCGATGTCCCGCGCGCGCAACCCTACCCAATGCAAACTCGCAAAGGTGGGAGCGAGCCGTCACACATGTGCGGAATTCCTAGGTGCGCACCCGAAACAAGCGTGCTGCACGAAGTTCCGTACGCAGCCGTCGCTCACACAGGCCCAAAAGGATAACGTTTCTCGTACCTGATGTAGGCAATGCTGGCGTGCCCCCCCCATTTGCTTGCGTGCCACATGCACTCATGAAGCACACAGCCCGTAGAGGAGTGGCAGCTTGCCCTGTCTGCCTGGATGGGAGTCTGCAGTTTTATAAGGGACCCTCTCTTACCCGTGCCCATCTTTATTCACCGCCCCCTCGGCGCCCTCTCAACGTCCTGAATTAACTAATTCAGAAGACTGGAAGCGGGCCCAGACGCTTCCGAGACGACCAAGACGACCCCGAAGGTGCCACGATGCGTCTCCAAGATGTTCCTTACACTACCCCACGCGCCCCCAGCCAGCACAAGAGGGCCCGAGAAGCCCCTCAAGAATGCCCAGAGAGGCCCAAGAGGCAAAACACATTCATATATCTCAAGTTGTCCATGTTGTTTCCAATAGCCAATTCTCGTCCCAGCCAAGAGGCCACAAGGGGCTCCAATAGGTCCCAAAGGATCCCCCGAGGCGACCCAAAGAGGCCCCGAAGCGACCCCCCTGGTGGCACCAAGATGGCGCAAGGACCCCGAAGAAAGCCCCAGGACGGCCCAAGATCTCCCCGAGATGGACCAGTCCCAGACGGCCACAAGACGCCCATTGGACGGCCCCCTGCCCCATTCCAAACCGGCCCGAGACCCACCCACCCGGGGACCGCGAGACCCTTCACGATAGCCCGGAGACCTCCCATCAGACTGCCGAAATGCCCAGAGAAGCCCCATGGGATCCCTCCAGAAGCCTCTGAGGAAAGACCAAACCGCTGCCTAGCCCAAGTAGCCCCAAAACTGGCATCAGACCAGGACGTGACGCATGCTTCTCGAACCCACTCTAGAAACGAGTCGCCGTCTTCGCGCGCGCGCGCATCTCCACCACCGCGCTGCGGGCACCTAGTGAGGTGCCCCGAGGCACCGCATATCGCCCTCGCGCTCGAGTGTTGCAGACACTCGCCCCGAGGTCCCCAATTAGCAGACTCCTGGACGCTCCCGATCGCGTACGGGGTGCCTCTTGTCACCTCTCACGAGGCCCCGAGAGCGTGCTTCGAAAACAAAAGACTCCCGGCATGCCCTACGAGGTTGTCATTAAGGGGGGGGCGGTCCTGATGATCTATGGGTGGCCTCTGCGGCCGTCTCAGAAGCCCGGGGGGGGGCAGGCCCACGAGCCCAGCATCATTGGCCAATGAGCGTCCCAGACGGCCCACGAGGCTCTCCAGATCGCCCCAAGTCAGCCTCCGAGCTTCCAAGAAGGCCCCTAAAAGTGCCCAAGTATGCCCACGACGAGCCCAAAGAGGGGGAATTCCGAAGTGCCCCAGCGGCCATCCCCCCCAGACAACTCCCTAGAATCTCAGCAGGCCCCCGATACGCTCGCGAGAACGCCAAGGAGGCATCAGAGGCCCCCCAGAGCCAAATGACCTTCCATACGGCCTCTGGTCCACAATCTGCGCACGGAAACAGAACAGCGAAGGTTCACCATTCCAGCTTGCAGCCCTGCAGGGCATCGAGCAACTTGTCGCCTCCACAAAAAATTGCTGCGATGGCTCTGGGGAGTCTCGGGGGCCGCCTCTCATGGGGGATCGGAACACCCCTCTCGATTCAGCTTCACACCCTCGTTCATGCCAGAGATCACGCTCTGACCGCAGTTGGGCCCCATATTCAACCTGTCGCATGCACAACTCTTACCACAAGTGGATTCATGGCTCGTCGCGGAATGACAGTGCACCTCCTCGAGGGATGGCCCTGCGTGAAGGCCGACGTAACACATCGGGCCGATCCCGGTTTTGCGCACTGCCTCGATGACCTTGCAGTAGCAATCATCGCTGACATCAGGTCACAAGCGGGGCTCAGGCTGGACACGTCGCTGAACTCTACCAGCTGGCCGCTCTGAGGTTGATCGGGAGTTTCTGCATATAGCAAAAGAAAGGGCGTGCCTGTGGGCGAGAGGAGGATGAGCGGGAGGCGGTGGTGCCGCGGGAGAGGATGAGGAGAGAGAGGATCAGGAGGGCGAAGATCGCCCTCCTGATCCTCACCACCACATCCAACTATCCTCCTCCTCCTCCTCCTCCTCCTCCACCTCCTCCTCCTCCTCCTCCTCCTCCTCCTCCTGCTCCTCCTTCTCCTCCTCCCCAGTTTCGGTACTGCCTTGGTGCTCGAAATTCTTTCTGGTGGTCAAGGCTCAAGTAGGTTGGAGCCTCCTAATGCCTGCCGCCTCCTGCCACCCCCCCCCACGAGCCAGGAGGAGAGACAGAGACCACCGCCACTCGGCAGGCGGGCCCCAAGGGGGAAGTGAGAGGGGGCCGGCCCTCTGAGAAGGTCTGCCCCCTCTCACTTCACCCCGGGTTCAGGTCGGGCATGTCCTCCGACAGGCAAAGCTTCGACGAGAACCTAAAAATGGCCCAAAGAGATTCTAACATTAGTCAGACATCGTCGAAAAATCGTCCCCTGACTATTGTTGAGCTATTTCTGAATTTTTTCTCCTGCAGAGGGCCGTGCACGACTTCCCCCCCGGGCTCGCCGCCGAGCCACCGAGAATCCCTGGGAGGGGAGATCATCTGCAGAGCCCCGCTGCAGGTGCTCCCGGCGGCAGGCCTCTGCGCCGGCACGGGCCAGGCTCCGACTGCCACCGGAAGGTCCGCGCGGGCGTCTTGGACTGGCGCTGGGCCCCCTCCCTGGCGCGGGACCCAGCCCGGATCCGGAAAATCCGCGCGGAGCTCCAGCAGCTTCTGTCTGCAGTAGGGGCCCGACTGCAAGAAACCTCCCACAAGGGACCCAACCCTGAGACCCCAGGGCGCCCACTGATCTTTGGCTTGGGAACGTCACGCCTTCCATAGCAAAACCATCGCAACCGAAGAAACCCAGGGCACCCTGGAGGCAAGCAGGGTGTTTCTTGGCATGGGTCTCCACTGTATGCCGTTCTTTCGTCTTCGAGCCGTGGGCCAGGCTTCGATCACCAGAAGCGGGAGAACGAGGGGGGACATTGGGGATCGATCAGCTCAGACTGGGGAAACGTCGGCCTGGAATCGGGGATGCGTCGCCGATAGATCGGCGATGGGGCCCAAAGACCGAAACCGCACAGCCCTGGTCCTGGTGGGCTACGGAACCCCTCTCGGCGACGAGTGCGCGACTGGGAGTCGATGCGTCGCCCCCTTGAGCCCATCCCCTTCCGCTACGCTGCCCCTCGGAGGGAGGCTCCCGCGCGGGCCCCGCCCCCGGGGCTCGCTTCCGGGCCCACCGCCGTGGCTGCCGGGCATCTCCTGGTCGAGGCCCGCGGGCATGCCCATCGCCTCGCGCCGGGCCGGCGGCGGGCCCGCCTCGTCCGGGGAGCTCCGAGGGGGCCGCCGCCATCGCAGGCGGGCCAGACGAGAGACAACGGCGGCCCTCCCTGCGATGTGCCGTCTTTGCGGGGCCTCCTCTGGGAGCCTTTCTTCGCCACGGCCGGGTCCGCCTGAAGCAGCGGGTCAGGACGGATCCTCGGAGGGGTCCAGGGATCGATGCCGAGCGGAGTTGGGCCGTCGCCGCCGCCGCACTCGGGACGAACCGCACTCGGGGTAGACGAACGGGGGGGGAGAGCACGGGTGGGGAGGGGTAGCGAATCAGCGCACGCAGCTGGTTTTCCTCGGCGCCTCCCGGCGCCAGAGGCGCCTCTGCATCGGGGAAAGAACTGTCGGTGGGGCCGAGATCAGCTGCGTGTGGCAGCTTTCGTACCCCCGCTTGCACGATCCCGCTGTCGTCCGATCCCAGGCGAGCTCTCCTTCCGCCGCCCATGTGGGCCACACTGCCGCGTCTGAAGCAAACGAGGGCACGAGAGCTACACTGCACTCGGACGCGTGCCGAAGGTGCTCCAAGCCGCAGGGTCCCGGGCAGGAGGTAGGCAACGGCGTGCACCGTTCGTAGTCGCTGACGCGGAACCACGCGCGGAAGCAAGCGTACTCTGGGCCAGCGGGCGATTTCGGGCACGACTAGGCAACCGCATGTGGGCCCTCCCCCTGCGGGTCAGATCTCTGAAAAGCTGGCTGGGGTTCAGCCTTCAAAGGATGTCTGCGGCCGAGTGAACCCCAGCCGGGGTGTCCGATACCCCAGCGCAGATTGGACCCGCAGGGGCTGGACTCGCCAATCGGTCGCAGAACGAGCCCGTGGCGGCGGAGCCATTCGTGACACGCACGCGAGATTGGAGATGATAACTGCCGGTCGTCGGCGGCGCTCGGGAGGACCACGACAGCCCCAGATCCCCTCGCAAGGCCCCAGCTCTGGCCGAACTCTGCGCGCTGCCCCGCACAGAGCCGACCACGGAATCCACAGCATGGCAGGAAGACCGACCGATGCTGCGGGCAGCGCCCATGCCTCTGCGCTGGGGTGCCACAGCGGGTGCGACACATACGGGCGCCGTGCTGCCATGACGAAGGCCGAGTGCGGAACGAAGGGGCTTTTCTGGCCATGGCGCGCCCCGGCCGCGAACAAGTTCCCTGACCCACAGATAACTGCGTGTAGCCATGCACACATCTATATATATATGTATATATATATATGTATGTATGTATGTGTGTACATACATACATACATACATACATACATACATACATACATACATACATACATACATACATACATTCATGCATACATACATACATACATACATACAAACATACATACATACATACATACATACATACATGCATACATGCATACATGCATACATGCATACATGCATACATGCATACATGCATACATGCATGCATGCATGCATGCGTACGTACGTACGTACGTACGTGCGTGCGTACGTACATACATACATACATACATGCATACACACGTGCATGCATACATACATACATACATACATACATACACACATACACACATACACACATACATACATACATACATACATACATGCATACATACATACCTCCAGACATGCATACATACATAGATACATACATGCATGCACGCATATACATATACATATAAATCTATATATATACACATGTACATATATAGTTGCATCTACATGTACACATACATATACACTTCCATATACATATGCATATATATATATATATATATATATATATATACATATACATAAACATATGCATAAACAAATACATATACCTATACATATGCATATACATATACACATACATCTATACATATAGATATACATATACTCCTCCATAAACCTATACATATATATATACGTGCATATACATGTACCTATACATATACAAATACATATACATATGTATAAAAATGTGTACATATATAACTATAAAAAAGAAGTTAGAATCATCGCGCGCGCTTCGCGTTCTGGCTAGGCTCGACAAGCTAACGCATGGAATCGCAATTTCTGAAGTGCCTTGTGCATCTAACGACCTTCTTGGAGTCCCTGCGCAAGCTTCGGAAGCGTATAGGAAGGGAAATGCGGCAACCACTAAATCATAAATTTCTTTTCGGTGTTCGATGATTTGGGGCACTCCAAGGCTTCCTGAGATCTTTCTTCGGTGGGGACGGGGACCTTAATTGTGATTTGCTGTGCAAAAATAAGCAGGGGGTAAATTGGAAAAAAAAAAAAAAAAAAAAAAAAAAAAAAAAAAAAAAAAAAAAAAAAAAAAATGAATTCTTGGAATTGCCGTATGGCTTAAAATGCCATTCCTGGGCCGTGGGTCAGAAGTTTCCTGGATACAGGCCGTGGACTGTTGCGACGCCTCTGGGGGCCTTTTGGCGGCGTCTTGGGAGTGATTCGGGGCCTCTTGGGAAGCTCTTGGTGCCTCCTGGAAGCTCCCGGGAGTCTCTGAAGGCATCCGGGGGGCGCCTCGAGAAACTCTGGGAGAACCTTGGGGCCACCTTGGGGCAAAGCACTCGTAAGGCTTTGGGGGGTCACCTCTTTTGTCTCTTGCTTGGCGCGCGCGCGCTGACGGTCTAGCTAGGCTAGATATGCAAACTCATGGAATCTCGATTTTTATGGTGGCTGCCTCGGGGCGTTCTTAGGCCGTCTTGGGGCATTCTTGGCCCGTCTTGGAGCCGTCTTAGGGGCTCTTGGGCGGTCTTGGGACGTGGGGACCTTTTCGGCCGTCTTGGAGCGTTGAAGCTCGAAAGCGCGAGAAGGCTAAAAACCTCAAAAACAAAGAAAATCAACGATTTTGACCTGAGCTGCTTGGGAACGTCTTGGGCCGTCCTTTCGCGTTCTGGGGGTTCCTTGGGGGCGTCTTGGGCCGTCCTGGAGCGTTTTGGGGGTTCCCGGGAACGCCTTGGGGCGCGAAACTGGGAGTTGCCCTTAGATGTTCCAGAGGTGTGGGACGCTCCTGGGGGGGGGATTTGTTTGAGATTGATATATATATATATAATATATATAAATATATATAATATATATATATATATATAGATACTGTATGAATATATGGATATATGAATATCCATATATATATATATATATATATATCGGAATCCAAAGACCCTAGACCCAAAAACGTTTTCATCTCGTGGGGGCATCTTTTACTTCCGCCGACTCCCGCCACCCTTCCGCCGGCTTCCGCCAGCGGAGGCGGCTTCGCTTTACTTCCGCCGACCTTCCGCCGCCGTTCCGCCACCTTCCGCAGAGGAAGAGATGACAACTCCTTCCATCCTCAAAGGCAAGGCCCTTTTCTGGGACCCGTATGTATATATATATGTGTGTATGTAGATATGTATACATGTATATACAAGTATCGACCTATATACACACAAACATAAATTCATACATACAGGCATGCATATAATCATACACGCAGGCATGCATACATACATGCATGTCTGCATGCATGCATGCATGTCTATGTACGTGTACGCGTACGTACCTATGTACATGCATACATACATGCCTGCATACATACACACGTGCGTACATACATGCATACATACAAGCATACCGTCATGTATGCATACATGTCTGCATGCGTACATACATTTCTGCATGCATGTATACAGATATACATATATGCGTATATACATAAATACATAAAATACGTGCATACATTCATAAAGGCATGCGTCAATGCATGCATGCATGATGAATTCATGCATACATGCATTCATACATACATTCGCACACACATACCTGCATGCATGCATGCATGCATGCATACATACATACATATTGCCAGTCATACATACACACATACATACATATATAAATACATGTATATACACATACATACATACATGCATCCATACGTACATACAGGCATACATACATACATGCATGCATCCATCCATACATACATACATATAGACATACAGCCATACATACATAAATATATCTGTATAAATAGATACGTGTGTACACATATACATATATACACACCTATACATACAAACATACACACATACATACATACATGCATGCATACATACATACAGACAGACAGACAGACATCCAAAAGTGGTCCTTATCTCAACGTCTGGGCTGCAGGCGGTCGGAGCCTGCCCGAGCGCAGGGCGCCTGCGGGCCATGAAGACGCTCCGCCTCCGCGCACGCGCTCCCCGACCAAAGGGCGCCCTCGCGCGCGGAGGCGGGCGGGCCCGCCGTCCTTGGCCGCCCACCAGTCCGTCTGGATGAACCCCTTGAAGCCCATCTGGTCCTGCGGCAAGGAGGCGCCTCCTCTCCCCGCTCCTGGCTCGGGGGCGTCCAGGACGGGGAGCGTCCAAGAGGGGGTGGTTCACAGGCCGTGGCCCGAGGCACGTGCGCGGACGAAGGGGGGGGGGGCAGGGGACGTGGTGAGAGAACAGGACGGGGCCATAAAATCTGGGGAGATATCATGGCACCCGACATGATGCCCAGGCCCCCTAGTCATCATCCCACTCTTGCACGCCACCGATTAGCCCCTTCTCCTCGTCCTCCTCCTCCTCCTCCTCCTCCTCCTCCTCCTCCTCCTCCTCCTCCTCTTCTTTATCCTTCTCCTCCCCCTCGTCCTCCTCCATTCTTTTGCCTTGCAAACAACTCCTCCCTGTCCAGCCGGAGGGCGGGCCGTGCGTTTCGCCTGAAACTTCCTTTGCATTTACGATCCTGGAGCTACATGTTTGGCAACAGAGCAGATGGAGGGCGGGTGGTTTTCTCGATGATGTGGCTCTCGCATTAGCGCCGCGCACATTCGTGATGAAGATGTGTAAGAGCTTCACGGATTGAGGGCGTGTAATTCTCAAAGTGTGGCTCTTGGTTTAGCGCTGCGCACATGTGTCCTAAGAATTTGCAAAGGGCTTGACATATTGAGGGCGGGTAATGTTCAAAATGTGGCCTCGCTATAGCGCCGCGAACATGTGTCTTAAAAATTTGCAAGGGCTTCACGGATTGAGGGCGGGTGGATTTCAAAATGTGGCTCTCGTCTTAGCGCCGCGCACCTTCGTCTTAAAATATTGCGGGAGAGTGAGGGTGGGCTTGTTTCAAAATGTGGCTCCCGCCACAGCGCCGCGCACTATCGTCTTAAAACCTTGCAAGAAATTGGCGGATTGAGGGCGATTCATTTTCAAATTGTGACTCTCACCTTAGCGCCGCGCACATTCGTTCAACAAAATTGTAAGAGTTTCACAGGTCCCCATGGTTAACGTACCAGAAATGGCGTTCAGGAAAGATTCAGGATTGTCAGGGCGCAACAATGATATCAATTCGCGATGGTGAAGTCCCAGGAATGGTGTTCTGGCACGGGCCCGGATCGCCAAAACGCAACAGTCAGGTTGATTCGTGGCGCTGGAATCCCGAAAATGCTGTTTTGGCACGTCTGACGATCTTCAAACGGGGCACTTTCCTCAGTGGAAATGAATCCTGGTCATGGCTTATTAAGAGGGATCTTGAAGGGAGGGTGAATCCTACTCCTCCTCCTCCTCCTCCTCCTCCTCCTCCTCCTCCTCCTCCTCCTCCTCCTCCTCCTCCTCCTCAACTCGTGTCCCTCATCCTTCCCATCCACTTCCACCTCTTCATGATCCTCGTCCTCCTGCCCCTCCCCCACATCCCTCTGAGTCCTTTAGCACCGTCTGCAGGGTCTTCTCGTTCGCGCAAGAATACTGCCCGCCGATCCTGCCGCGGAAGAGGGGGAGCAGCGGGAGAGGGAAGAAGAGCGCAGAAGCAGGACTTGAGATAATATGGCTCCAGGGCCTCTTAACCCCGTGAGTGGGCCCAGCTTCCTGGTACCACAACCCTCGACAGCACGGTGAACGCAAGCGTTCCTCGTGGTTGACCCGTGATGCCTTGGGATGCCGCACCCGCAACGGCAGAGGCCGAGCAGGAGGAGGAGGAGGAAGAGGAGGAGAAAGAGGATGAGGAGAAGGAGGAGGAGGTAATAGGCGACGGTTCAAGCAAGCCAACCCTTGTCCGACGTATAAAAGGAGGAGGAGGAGGAGGAGGAGGAGGAAGGCTCACGCATGTGAATTGTGGCTCCGCGCACGTGGCGCCCACGAGTGCACACAGCCAGGCCAGGAGGGGGCGCCGAAGCGCCTGCATGCTCAGAGGATGAGGAACAGCTGTCTGCAGCGATGAGCGCTAGTTGGCCAGGCGACTCGAAGATTCCGCGACAATGCCCGACCCCTCACGCGAAGGGCACTCCATGTGAAAACAATAGGCCCATCCACAGGCGAAGAACCAGCCGTCGCTGCGGCGGAGCACGCCAAGCCACTCGCGTCTCCTCTACAAGGATAGGGCGACGAAATCTACACGTATCCTCTGCTCCCTGGCCAGGCCCATCCTGAACCCAGCAGCGGATACGCAGCTCCTTGGTTCAGGATGGGCCTGGCCACGGAGCAGTGGACACGTATAGATCTCGTCGCTCGACAGGAGAGCGCGCGGGCCGTGCTCCCCAGGCTGCGGGCGCCGCACGGGGCAGCCGCAGCCAGGCGCGCCGCCGCCCGGGCAGCTCGCGCGGCGGACGCCGCCTACAGGGCTTACCCGCCGCCCACGACTCCCGCCCTCCGCACATGAGGGGCGACCACAGGGGGGGACAGGCATAAGGGGGGGCAGCATCGACCTGGAAGCGGCGACGCATCGCCGATAGATCGGCGACAGGCCCCCGATAGCAGGCCCGCACGTTCCCGGGCGGGGTGGGGCCATTGGGACCCAAGTCGCCGATCGGTGGGCGATTGGGGGTCAGTGCGTCCCCCCTATGCCCATCCCCCCCTATCGCTGCACTTGAGCACTTTCTCCGCCCCCTCCCCCGCACCCCGCCCGGCGCTCGGCGACCGCCGACGGAGAGGAGGGCGCCCAGGACCGGCCGACGGCCACCCACGACGACCGACGACGACTTCCCCCGCCCGCCCCGCGCGCGCCTGCGTGCGTGCCGCTGCCCCTGCCGCTCTCGCCCTTGTCCGCCGCGCGTTCTCTTCGCCCCCATTAGGGGGTCACAAGCGAACCCTACCCCTACCCCCCACGATTTTTGCGGGGGAGGGTGGGGTTCACTTCGTTCGGGAGCTCCCGAGCGAAGTGAACCCCACCCTCCCCCTCAGAAATCGTGGGGGGTAGGGGCAGGGTTCGCTTGTGGCCCCCTACCCATCCGCCCCGTTCTTCCCAGGCGCCCGACGTCGTAGTTTTTTCACAGCGTCGACCCCCAAAAGGTCTGGACCCCTTCCGCGGGACCGGTTTCTCCTCCTGAGCCGATTTTTTTTTTGACGGCCCCGAGGCCCGGGAAGGGCTTCCGGACCTCCCGTCGTGACTTTCACAACGCGAGGATGTCTGGACTTCCTTGTCTCTCCGCTGCCGCCCAGTGTCCAGGCCGGGCGCGCGTCGTGCTGTGCCCGCCAGGTCGCCTCGCCTGGCGTGGCCCGCGCCGCCGGAGGGGACTGGGGCGGCGGGCGCCACGGAGCCCCGCAGTACGTCTGCAGCCCGCGAGGGGCAGGGGGCGTGCCCCCTCCCTCCTGCGTCCTCCTCCCCCATCCTCCCTCCCTTGGTCGGCTCTGGCCCACGGGTGGCCGAAGCGCGCCCGCAGGGCGCGGTGATGTTGATGTTCGTCGCCGCCGCGCTTGCTCTTCGATCGCCTGTCAGCCTTTTCCCTGGGGCCCTCTTGGAGCTGCCTTGGGCCTCTATCTTCCTTTTCGCTAGACACACACAAGCAATCATATTGTTCTAAGAAATATTGGAGCACACTATTCGTCCATATGCGAAGGCCCTAAAGTGCCCCAAATTTTCTGTGGGTCCCTGGAGCCATCAGGGGATAAGAAAATGTCGTGGTACACCACCTGCTGGCAGGCCAGTTTCTGAATTGATGTGCCTATTGTAAGGATGCGGGCCAGTCCTGCACAGGTTGCGCGAAGACGTCGAGGCTTCCATACAGCAGGCTGTCCCTGAAAACCACTGACACAGTGTCAAGGTCGCCAACGAGCTCTGAGGGACGCACCCCTGCTAGCACTTCTCTAGCGGAAGGAATCATGAAGGGGGAACCCACAGGAAGACTCTCAATGAACATGATGTCGCTGACGCTCCTCATCTCCCCTCATCTAGGAAGAGGCTGGATGAGGGAAGCGCGTGCTCTCTGTGTTTCCCCAACGTTTCAAATGCTTCGCAAATTCCGTTTCGACCTTTCGGTTGGGCACCTTCCACAGTATCTCACCCACGAAGATCCAGCTAAACCCTTCGACTTCGAACTTCCTTTCGGACATAATTCTCTGCGAAACTCCATTCGGCAATCCCCTTTCTTCGAACTCTTACAGTAAGCCGCCACACAGTATCGGGGCACCACAAAATGGATACATTGGCAAGGCCGCCACGAAAGAAATCCTTGTGTAAGGCCTCCACAAAAAAGAATTATGGGGTAAGGCCGCAACAAAAAGAATTATTGTATACTGCCGCCAGACAAAATCCTTGCACAAGACGCCACAAAGTGAATCCGGATGTAGGGCCGGCACGGAAGGCTTTCTCTTGTAAGGCAGCCGCAAAAGGAATTCCTTTTGCTGGGCAGCCAGGCTGTGTTAGGCAGGCAGCCGGGGAAAACATGGGAATCTCTGGAAAATGAATACACTTCAAACACACAAGAAAACAATGGAGAACTGGAAAAACGTAATAAGTTGTCATATGTGTCAACTGGTCCCATGGGTCTGGGCTATGTTCATTAGTTATCATTGCGGCGATGTGCTTTCTTTGCGGTGACACGAAATGATGCATTAGGTGATCACTGCTTTTTCACTGCGTTATCATATGTTTCTTGTTGCTTCGATTGCTTCCTGTGGGTTCACAATCGTGTTCTGTGCTTTTGGTTGTTTTAGCTGTGTGCTCATTGTTTTGTCTCGTGTTTCGCTGTTTTCCTGCACCACACAAGGACTTCTTGCCTGTAAGGCCGCCACATAAGGAATACATATGCTGGGTCTATACAGAGAGGATTTGGTTTGCAAGGCCGCCACAGAAGGAATTCTTTTGTAGTGCTGCCAGAAAAAACCTTTTGTAAAGCCACCACAAGAAGAATACATTCGCAAGGCCGCCGCAAAGTGAATTCCTTTGCAAGGCAGCGAGGCTACTTTTGGCATGCAGCCGCGGAAAGTGCCGAAAACGATGCAAACTTAGATCAATAAATGAAGACATTGAGAAAAAGACAGCGGAAACCATATATATATATATGAGAAATGAGCCGTCATATTGAGTTGCTGCTGTGCTTTCAGATGTTGTCGTTGGATTAACTTGCTTGTCTGCTCGTCTGTCATGCGTGATTGTTAGATTCGGTTGTCTTCCATAGCGTTACCACAAGTTTGATGTACAGTCAACTGTTGTTTGTGATGATTCCAACAAAGTGTTATGTTTCCTTGTTTTCGATGTGTGTGGTAATTGTTTTCTTGTTGGTGATGGCTTCCTTTTGTTCCAGAAAGGTTGCCGAATTGTGTCGGTGCACCACAAAAATGATTATTCTTGTAACGCCGACACAAAAGAAATCCTGCGCGTAAACCTCCACAAGAAGGACTCATGTTGTCGGGCAGCCACAACACAAGGTACCCTCTTTCGGAAGCCGCCAGAAAACAAGAATCGTTGTATAAGGCACCACAAGAGGAACCCCTTTCCAACGCCGCCGCAAAAGGAATACTTCTGCAAGGGCGCCTCAAAAAGAATCCCTTTGCAGCGCAGAGCAGCCAGACGATGCTCGGCATTCAGCTAAGAAAAACAAGTGAAGCCATGAAAAACCACGAAAAACATGAAAACATAGCGAACACACAATGAACAACAAAAACCAGTCCGCTTTCGTAGGTCTCATTTGTTCATTGTTGTTGCTATATGTTCATCGATGTGTCTTGTTTTGCTTGTGTGGTGTTGCCATGTGCTGTCAGTGGCCTCGATTATTGTTGCATTTTGTGTTCACCGTAATTGTTTTGGTTGGTGTTGTTGTTCTCCGTGCGTTCGTTGCGTTTCTTGTTTTTCTGTGATGCCTTTCTCTTCTGGAGGGGTTACCGAAATTTGCCAGGGCACGGCAAAACGATTTGTGTTGTAAGGCCGCTACGACAGGAATATATTCTAAGGCTTCCACAAGATGAACCCTTCTGTAAGGACGCCACAGAAGGAATTCGCTTGTACTGCCGACACAAGAAGAATCCTTTTGGGAAATCCCACACGGCTGGCGTACCTTGTGAAGGCGTCCTATACCTCGATGTATGTGCGCGTGCCCACCACAGCGCACGTGTGCAATCCAGCGCACGTGCGCAACACAATCTCAACTGTGCTTGCGCGCAACACAAGTATTGCATGCGCACCCACGCCTGCGTGCCCCACAATACACGTGTTGATCACAATGTGTGTACGCACTGCGCAGTGCCATGTCGGGTACGCACTGCGCTGCGCCACTCGCTCTGCAATGCTAGCGTGTTTTCGTGCCAAACCTATGGATACCCTTTTCACGGCCACAGATAGTACTGCCAAAGATGTTATGCACCGCGTGTTGCGCACCGTAAGCCGATGTGCATTGAGCGACGAACTACCTTACTACCCATTGCACTGCGCGGTGTTCGCTGTGTTCGACATGAGGCGAACGAGCATGCTGAGAATGAGGGCGCGGGCGGTAAGTTGGGGTGATGATAAAAACGATGAGGAGGACGAGGAGCAAGACAGGGAAAGATACTGACCGGCAGCATTGTCACAAAAGGCATATGGCCGATTCCGGAAACCCTGAACCCGAACACGTTTCCATCTCTTGGGGACGCAGCTTTTACTCCCGCCGGCTTCTGCCAGCCTTCCGCCGGCTTCTGCCGGCGGAGCCGCCCTCGTTTGAATTCCGCCTTCCACCGACCTTCCGCGGCCTTCCGCCGAGGAAGAAGTGGCAACTCCTTCGGTTCTGGAATGCCCCATATGAGACAGAACGCCACTCCCCCGTCCTCGTCCCTCTTTGAATCGAAAGGGGGAAGGGCTGGTCAACTGCTGCGCATTGCTGCAAGTTTCGATGGTGCAACCAGGCTCTGAGGCGCACAGACTTTGAGTGTCTCAATGCTTGTGTGCGCCGCAATGCTTCGGTTCACTCCGATGCCTGTGTGCACCAGAGTGCCTGCTTGCACCAAAATGCCCGAGCGCACGCATGCACAATGCCCCACGTGTTGCGCAATGTCCGTGTGCACAGCAACGCGCCAGAATGCGTGATGGCACCACAATGCTTTCGTTCCTGCTACAATTTTTGTGTAGTCCAGGGTGAACCTACCAGCTGGCCGTGCGACACAATGCTTGTGTGCACCACGGACATTGCGCGCAGCACAATTCATGCGTGCGCACCACGGTGCACTTGTGCAGCGCAATTCCTTTGTGCACAACGATGCCACGAGCGCGCGCGCGCAACGCATTGGCTGCGCGCGCCACTACGCATGCGTGCACCATAATGCCTGTGTGCGCCACTATGCCTGCGTGCAGTGCACTGAACCACGTGCACGTTGCATCGAGAACCGCTGCTCATTCGTCGGCAGGGTACTTACGCGCCGCATTCGTAAGAACCCCTTCTTACGAAAGCGGGCAGGTTCGCCGACCTTGTCGTGCATGCACACATGCAACGAGGCGCACTGTGCCACAGGTCGTGCTGTGCAAGCTCGCATGGCGGCGTCTGCAAGCATTCTGGCGCACACGCGCATTGTTGGCATTGTAGTGCACGTACGCGTTGCGGTGCACACAGGCGTTCTGCTGCACATGCGGGCAGAGCGGTGCCGACAAGCGCTGTAGTGCACGCAAGAATTGTGGTGCTCGCGCAGACACTGCGGTGCTCTAAGGATGGGGGGGGGCAGTAGGCGGTGTAGCAAGCGGTGGTAGGGGGCTGCAGTTGGCGCTGTAGCAAGCGCTGTCGCAGACGCTGAAGAAGTAGGGTTTGCATTAAGGTGTAGTGGACGGAGGTGTAGTTTGGGTTGTAGTAAGGGCTGCACTTAACCACGTAGTTGGGACTGTTATACGTGCTGTAGTAGGCATTGTAAACGGCAACATCGGGAGTCGCATCATCACCTGCCAGCACTCTTGACCGTGCACCAGCATCTTCACGCATGTTATGATGTCAGGGCTTGTCGAGAGCATAGTAATAATTACTTCTCGCAAAAAATGTCAAACACACGCCTCCCTCATCCAGCCTCCCGCCCCCCATCTTCCCTCCCCCTACTCCTGCTCCCGCTGCCGCTGCTCCTGCCTGATCCGCCTGATCCTCCTGATGCTGAGCGCAGAGATATCCGGGACAAGGCGTCCTCGAAATCCACCGCTACACCTCCCAAAATCGTAACATTGTGTCGATCAACAGCGAAGGCGAGCGCCAACGCGGTCAAAAGCCCACAAAAACAAACAACAACAACAAAAAACATTTAATTTCGGAGGTCTGCGCTGGACCCTCTCGCCGCACCCTGTCCCGAGCACGCGAAACACGTCGGGGATGGCACTCGAGGCGCCTCTGGGGCTTTATGGAGAGGGGGTTCCAGCACCGACCCAAGAGATACGCACCGGCCTTCGACAGTTTGAGCTTGTGCAGCTCTGCTCCATCCTCCTCCGAGAGAGGGTCAAGGCTTCTCCCGGTCCTGTTGTAGGAGCACATGGCGGCGGACACCCCCGCATCAACGGCGGCCTGCGGGTCTCTGGATCGGCCGTCGGGAGCATGGCACGCGGCAAACACATACAATCCGAAGTCCTGCTCCAGGGAATCGTTTGGCACACTCTTCGTCGATGCTTGAGGTCGCTACACGCAGGAGTGACCCTGGGTAAGAGTGACCTTTGGTGCGCGACTGTTGGGGGGCCGCGGGGGGACCAAACGTGGGCGCGCAAGCAGCTGCTACTGCCTCGTTTTTAGCCATCTGGGGACCCATCTGTGCCCGCACCAAAGGTCACTCTGGCGAAAGGTCACTCTTACGTCTAGCCGATGAGGGTCCCAAAGTGACCCATGGATTCTGTGGGCCGCTGGGGTCATCGGAGGGCAAGCAGAATCCAAATTCCGTGGGGCACAGGCTGGCAAGCCGAGTTCTCATGTGAGGCGCCCACTGCAGCGTCGGAGGGCCGGGGCCCGGAGCGCTCGAGAACCCCATCACACTCGCGAAGAGGGCCATCATGGCATGAGCTGGACGAGCTTTTGCCTGCAGTTCACGCGCGCTCGATGGTCCTCCCACGACGGGGGCCACGATGATGCAAGCCAATCGCAGCTGCGGTGATCGAGCACTCGAGAACCCTAGATCACAGAGATGCCCAGAGCATCGCGTGCATGCCTCACGCCAGCGCCGGCACTCGGACACTGCACACATCCTTTTGTCAGCCTGCTACCCCGCGCAGGAAATCTGGGACTCGGTTGTGGGATCGCTCGAGCAGTAAAACGTAACTGCTGCAAGGCAAAAAAAACAACAACGCCATGATAGATGAAACAACTGCATAAACATAAACTGTCGATGGTCCGCGCGGATTGCTTGGATCTGCGCTGGACCCCCTCCCTGGAGGACAAACCATGGGGCCCCCAGCGCGGATCCAAGAAAGCCGCGCGGAGCGCCGAGAGGCTCCTGCTCATGCCGCTCCTTTCTTCTCCGGCATGCGCACCAATTCCTTGGAGGCCCGCGCGGCTGTCGCGCGTCGGCGCGGGGCCCCCTGTGTTCCCAGATGTTTTGGAGTTGCGCCTCCCCCACACTTCCCACAGTTTCCCACCTTTTCTTGGGAGTCGACGATGAGCTGTGCCTGCGTTTCTCCCCCTCCCGAGCAGGGAGCATAGCGAACTAAGAAATAGGGCCTCGATCTGAGGGATGTATGGAGGGAGGGAACGAAGGGAGGGAGGGAGGGAGGGAGGGAGGGAGGGAGGAGGAGGAGGAGGAGGAGGAGGAACAGAGGAACAGACCGAGCGCACCCAGGTGCGAAGTTCGGGCGATGCCAAACGCATTCTAGCCCTGACAATGAGCGGCGCCTGCAGCGGCAGGCGCAGCGGCAGCTGAAATTTCTTCCACGGCCATGCCGTGGGTAGCTGCGCGCAGAAATTTGGTGAGGCCATCGCGCCCCGCGTGGGCGCGCGTGAATTCTCCCTTGTC